GTTATCTCAGTTGCTTCAGAGGTTTGGTGTTAGGCATTAGTGATGTGTCCCAATTGTCTTGATGCTGTGAAAGTTGGCATGGAAGAATGTGTGTCTTTCTCGCCTGTGGATTTTGAGTATCATGTGAAGGCACTGCTGGGAGTGCATCTCCATTGCTTTGAGATGCTTGCTGTGGGTCATCCAAGTCTGAAGCATAAAGTAGCTTGCTGCTGCCCAGTAAATATTGATCTTGATCTTCAGTTTGAGTTTCTGATTTTTCAAATATGTTTTTACTCAGTCAGCTGAAGGCTGAGCTAATATATTAGAAGTTGTGATGAAATTCTTCTGTCTGCTGCCCTAGAAGAGGCTGCCAAGATGTGCAAAATGGTGTACAGCAGGTCTCCTACTCTAAGTTATCCTCAGTGGCTGGGTCAATATTTGTCCTTCGATCTACATCACAAAAGACAAATTGCCTGGTTGTTGAAACTGCAATGTGATAATGACACACTTGTTGTGGTGCAGACACAAGCCATTTGGCTCATCATGCCTGAGCCAGCTCATTGGGTCTAGGCCCGAAACGTCAGCCTCTCTGCTCCTATGATGCTGCTTGGCCTGCTGTGTTCATCCAGCCCTGCACCTTGTTGTCTCAGCTCATTGCAAGACTTTTTTTGGCTCCTGAAATCCAACACATTTTTATAATTGATGTCAGATTGGCTCAGTTAGCGACACAGAATCAAAGTCAATGTTGTGGAATTGAACCCCTGCACTGGAATTCAAAATCTCAGTTGACTTTGAGCTTACTGTGCTGAGGCAGTATTACATTTATTAGGTATTTTCACTTGCAATGTTATCTGCCTTAAATCTGCCTCTACCAAACATACATACAGATACACCCACCCTGTTAATATTCACTATATTAACAGAAAAAATAAGGGTGAAAAAGAAACTGAGTTAACAATTCAAGTCTGGTGTGACTGTTGTTCAGAAGATATTAACAGAAGATGCTGCAATTACTCAGCAGGTCAGGTAGCCATCTGCTTTAATCTGCCGTGTATCTGCAGCATATTTTTGTTTATGATGCAGGCACTGGGAACCTGCAGTACTTTTGTCCTAACAACTCCTCACCATGGCAGGTTTTGAGGTACCCCTCTTAATTCCTCCTTTGGCTCACCCAGTTGTTTTCCTTCTATGACCAAAAAATGCTTTGGAACTTCTTTCAACATTATTACACATGGAGACTGATAGCTGAATCAAATCAGCTGCCTGACCTCTGTATTCACAACACAGTCAAATTAAAACCTTCAAAAAAGACCCTAAAAATTGACCCCAATGGTTCCTAACCAAACTTTTTGAACAATCAAACCTACACTTTGACAATATTAGATGCCAGATTTGTAGCTTAAAGTCTTAACAACTTATTAACAATACAGTAACTTTAGCAGAGAAAAGTTAAACAATGAACTAATCTAATGTCTATGATTTTAAACTCTATGACCTTTGTTTTCAGCCCCCACTCTCTCTCAAAAGACAGACTGAAAAGTACCGTTAAGGGATTTTTTTGTAATTAAAAAGTGACAAAACTGGCCAGATTAGTTAAGCAGTTTCTGCATTGCATTGTTTCACAAGTATATGGGATTGTCTCTTGATTTTCTGAAGATGTTGATCAATGCCACTTGTTCCAGTTCACTCTGAAGATTCAATAATGCTTATTTTCTATTCTCTGAGCTTCCAATAGCTGACAATTGGAGGTTAGGCAGTGAGCTTTCAAATCTTCATGCTGTAACATCAATAGCCAAACTCCTCAGAAACTCACAGTTCAAAAAAAACACCAACCTCTCCCTCTGTTTCATCAAGTTCTCAGACATGCTGGAACTAATTCCCAGGTAGCAACCACTTGTAAATGGCCAAACATCTATCTGGTCAAGCATACTCCAGAGTTGATTGGAGTTCTTTGAGCGGGAGCCAACCTGCAATTAACTTTGAGTCTCAGCCTCAAAAACATAAGAGCTTGTTTGTTCGTTCGCTCGCTCGCTCGCTCTCCTTTCTGAACGCAATGCTGCCGCAGGTCACCTTTCAGGTCTCTGCTCGCATTTCATAGCTCCAAATGAAAATATTTTTTAAAAAATGGGAAAAATCAGTGAGAGTTCTAAGTGTAAGTTGGTAGTGGAGGATTGTAATATTGGTTTAAACTAATGCAGTTTCAGACCAAGTCCATTCCTATTACTGTCTCTTGCTGCTCATGACCCCTGTTCTCCAACAGGGGTCACTAAATAAGAAATTATTATGCATTTTCTCCTCACTCCCACATGGGGACTTTTCCTACATTCTGTAGGTTAATAGAGGAGAATTATTCAGCATGGAGCAGCAAATTAAGTGACTGACCCTGCTGAAATCCTGATACAAACACAGATTGGTATCATGAATAAAATTTTTGCTGACCTAAAGACAAGTTGAATTTTATCTCGTTACAGCTGCAAATTTATATAGAGAATAGTTGCTGTCCTGGTGTTGTCAACCAGTACTTTGGAAGGGTTAGATGGTCTTGTGATTTACATAAGGAAAGTTTTAGATGGTTTATAATAGGTTAGCTGAAGCAAAGATGCAATTACTAATGAAAAACACAACTATGCATTTATTGTATTTAGTATGGAGTTCTTCTTCTTTAGTGTGTTTCTGTTCTTTCTCCTTTTTACTACTTCTTCTGTATGTATTGATTGACTACAGTTGAGTGGTCAGTTTGCCTCAGTGTCTATGTACCATATTTGCTGCATTGATTTGTAAAAGCATGTCGATGAAAATCTGTTTGAGTGAACAATATTGCCCATTTAATCCGTGCTAGTATGACATGTACGTAGTTGAGAACTGACTACTGACGATTATAAATCATTTAAAGTTCACATTACTTGTTGGTCCTGAAATACTCTTATCAAATGTGTCCGTATTTTGTATTGTGTTCTGCTATTGTTATTAAGTAATCTGCATTAAGGGAAATAAATCGACACAAATGAAGGTCATTGGCTTTTTTTTAAACTGATGACAATGGACAAATGCTTCAGAATAAAGTAAACAATTGGATTAATGGTGCAAATAGTGGATATGATCTGATAACCATTACAGCGATGTGGTTACATGGACATTGAAGTTGGGAACTAAATAGTCAGGGGTAGTGACTTTTTAGAATGTTCTAGTAGGAAGGAAAAGGTGGTGACGAAATGGAATAAATATGGTAGGAAGGAGTGGTCTATGCATGATGTTGGATTCACATAGGTGTAGGTAAGATATCGGGGAAGACGTGAGAGTTGTCTATGCGCCCCCTAACAGCTGTTCTGTAGGACAGAGTAAATCATGTGAGGAGGGCATGTAAAACAAAACAGTAAATTATACACGAGTGGCTTTAACTTTTATGTAGATTGAGAAAATCAAATTAGCAAAGGTAGCCATGGTAAAATTCGGTGTGTATTTGGGACAGTTTCCTGGAACAACAATATATTGTGGATCTAACCAAGGATCAGGAAATTGGATCTGGTGATGTATTATAAGGCAAGTTTAATGGATGATCCCATAGTGAAAGATTTCCCCTAGGGAAGCATGATCATAATATGGTAAAGTTTAGTATGCAGTTTGAGTGTGAGAACCATGGGTTGAGTACAATGGAATAAGGCAGGAAAATGAGTTGAGGATTGTCAGATCAGCCATTAACTAATTGAATGACAGCAGACACGACAGGCCGAATGGCATGCTTCTGTAGCATGTACATGATGTATTTGTAGCCAGAGTAATTTATAATGGGAAACAAGAATTGGCTGAAGAAAATAACACCTTCTTTGGTTCTGGCTTCACGAAAGAGAGGAAGAAACCTCCCAGAAATGGTAAGGATTTAAGAATCTAATCAGAAAGCAGAATTGGAGGAAATTAATATTAGTAGGAAAAGGATGCTGGGGAAATTCATGTCGTTAAAGGATGACAAATCATAAGGGTCTCCCAATCTACATCCCAGAGTACTGACGGAAATGGTGCTAGAAATATTGGATGCATTGGTAGCCACCTTCCAAAATTCGACACTCTGGATTCATTCCCACCGAATGGAAGGTAGCAACACAACCCCACAATTTTTAAAAAAAAAAAGGATGGAAGAAGAGCAGAATTACAGAGCAGTTAGCCTGACATCAGTAGTAGGGAAAATGATAGTCTGTTATAAAAGACATGATTGGATTAAGCTGATTGGTTTATGAAAGGCAAATCAGGCTTAACAAATCTACTATGCTTGTTACATCCTCAAAAAATGTAGATGATGGACAACAGTGGATGTGGTATATTTGGATTTTCAGAAGGCTTTTAGTAGAGCTCCTCAAGAGGCTAGTGAGCGAAGTTAAAGCACATGGGATAGGAAGTAATACATTGGCATGGATCAAGAATTGGTTCACTAACAGGAAGCCAAGTGTGGGTGTAAATGGGTGTAGTTTTCTGAGTGGCAGGCATTGCTTCGTATTCCGTAAGGACCAGTGCTTGGATCTTCTACCCGAAGCATTCAAATACAAAATTTCCAAGTTTTGCTCATGACACACAACTGCAGGATTGAGTTGAGGATGCAAAGAGACCGCAGGGTGAATTTAGATAAGCCGAGTGAGTGGACGGCATCAGCTATGTATTTGCTCAATGTGCTTAAATGTGAAGTTATTTCTATTTTTCACATTGTTGTATGCAAAGTACTACTTAAATTGTGAAATATTACAAAGTGTCCTTGTACACCAGTCAATAAAAGTAGCCAGGCCTGTTGCGGCAAGCAATTAGGAAGGCAAATTTGTTAATTGGATTTGAGTTTAGAAGTAGGGTTGTACTGCAGTTATACAGGGCCTTGATAAGATTGCACATATTCTCAGGCTGAAAGTACCTAATAAGTTCTTTTTGGTCTGATTTAAAATGATTACAAGAAGGTACATGTGATTTAACCTAAAGCAAATTTATTAGCTTAATCTACTATATTGGAGACATATGCAAACTGAGTGAATCTATTTGCTTAACAAACATTAGAAATGTTTTCCAACAAGTCTCCTTGCTTTGTGACGGTTGGTCTGGAGAACTCTGGGTTCCTGCCACCATTCACGATCCCAGTCCAAGGTGAAGTCAGAGTGTGACAGTCCCTGATATTAATAATATTCTAGTTATGTTCTGTGTCACTTTTTTTTTAAACTAGTACCTTTCAGTACTTTTTCCAGATATTCCATTGTGTAGACAATAAGTTGACAACGTCATCCAGGTGTCCCTGCATCAACAACCTTTTTTTTAAAAAATGGTTCCCATAGGCTATCAAGTTTATGCAGTTACCCAACAGCCAATAAAAAAACTATTTTTGCTCCAGGCCAGTAATCTTCCACTTGTCTTCAATAGCTCAATATAATGTCAAGTTAACCTTTTAATGGTCTGATTTGAAGATATTTTTAATCCTACCGCTTCATGCACCTACAGTATTGCATGTAGTTTTGGTCTCCCTATCTAAGAGAATATACTTAGGGGGAGTGCAACGAAGGTTCACCCAGGCTGATTGCAGGGTGTGTATGTGAGGGGAAGTTGAATCAGTTAGAATTATATTCACTGGAGTTCAGAAGAATGAGGGAGAATCTGTATAGATGCAGAAAGGATATCACCAAAGACCAGGGATTCCAGATCCAGGGGTTACAGGATAATAACATGGAATAAACTCATCAAGACTGAAATGAGATGTTTCTTCACCCAGAGTGGTGAGCCTATGGGATTCGGTACCCCAGAAAGCAGCTGAGGCCAAGCATAGTATCGTTTCAATGGGTTGAATATAACACTTGAGGATAAAGGCATAAAAGAATATGTAAGGATAGGCTGTTGAGTTGGATGGTTAAGCCTGCTCCACCATTCATTATGATCGTGGCTGAAGGGTTGAATGGCCTACTTGTATTTTCTGTTTCTCAAATAGGGGATGGTTGGACTGAGGAGAGACTGGTTTAACTTAGCACGTATTCACTAGAGTTCAAAAGGATGAGAGGAGCTCTGAAGCGTATAAAATTCTGACTTTACAGTCTAGATGTAGTAATGGTGTTTTCCCTGGTTGGAGAGCGCGGAAATGGGACGCAGTCTCGGGATACGGGGCAGACCGTATAGGACTCTGATCAGAAAAATATTTCTTCTTGAGGTAGAGAACGTGTGGAATACTCTAGAATGCTTTTGAGGCCATATATATTCACAAGGAATGAGGCTTTTTTTGATATTTTCGAAGGCATCGAGGTATGGGGGGAAAGTGGGAATGTGGCATTGAGATAGACAATCACCCGTGCTCATAGTAAATAGCAGAACTGTCTTGAAGGATGGAATGGCCTACTGCCACACCTAATTTCAATGTTTCTGCTACAGCTTGTGGTTCAGATTCTGGAAGCCAGTAAGGAGCTTCATTGGCTAGTAATGTATCGGCTAACTGGCTGTGAAATGAATTACTTAGTTTAAATTTTTAAATAAGATTTTATACTTCAACATGACCTCCTAGCCAGTGCAATGCACAAAAAGGAATTGTTGAAGGACAAAAGACTTGGTATTTATAGATTGCTGTTTACAACCTCTGGGTGTCCCAAAGTACTTTACATTTCAAAATTATTTTGCTGCATGCAGTCGCTGTAATGTGGGAAGCTTGTATGAATCAAAGACTCACTGTGCTAATGACCAAATACGTATTTTTTTGTGACACATTGGCTTAGGGACAGTACAAATTGAACATTTTGTTGCTGGTTTGCACAAATAAGGTGGAGGGTTTAATTTTGGTAAACCACAACAATTGTGGTGCTCTTTTTTTGGTTTTCTTTCAGAGTTCGAGTATTGATTTTCTTGCCAACCAAGGATTTGACTTCAATAAAGTCTTCCGAGATGGTAAGTGGGTTCTTCTAGAGAAACTGGGGCTAAAAATTCTTTCCAAAAATTTAAGGAAGAGGGAGTTTATGGCAATTTTCTGTAGAGATTAGAGAATGTGGGAGTGTTCTTCCAACTGAGCTCTTTGAGTCAGAAATCTATATTTTAATTTTCTTTGTGGTCAAAATGTTTTTAGGCCATTTCAGATGGTCAGACTTGTCCTGAATATTATTTGGCTGCACTATATTTTGGTCAATATCTTCAAGTTTTAAACAGTGTTGATGCAATTATTTTGACCTTTCCAAAAAAATTACTACTTGGTATTTAAATTTACAGGAATCCCATACTTAAATCGGGAGGAAGAAAGGCAACTTCGAGAGCAGTTAGAGGAAAAGCATAATCAGTCTAATGGTACAGGAACACCGTCTTTCATTTCGCCAAATTCTACCAAAGGGCCCGTTGTTATCCCAGAAGAACATCGCAGTTTTATTGAGAAAATTGTGTAAGTCAAATGAGTACAAAATAGTTTGAAGGTTCTTTGCTTGTCCATTGAATTGTCCATTGTCCAGTTAGCTTTGCCTTTCAGTTGATGTTGATGAAGGAAAAGGCAGCCTGATTGAGCCTGTTGCTGATGTCAGATTATTATTCTGCACAATGTCAGACATGGAACATTGAATTCCTGTGACCTAGCAAAAAGACAAGCAGTTACTTTGCAACTACACATTTTTCTATATGTAGTTGCATGCAATTTTTTAAGAATTTTGGAGACAAATATTTTTTAGATTGCCTATATCTTAAAAAGTGTCCATAGATTTTGGATTAAAATTGAACTTTTCATCTAATTGGTAAGCCTTCTGGTGAATGTAAAATAATTTTTTAAAAAATTACACTGATCTTTTAGCTTAGAATGCTGCACAGATTTTCTATCTCTTTGTGAAGGTGCTAACTCCTTTGTTGTCGCATGACTGTGGAGTTGCTAGACACTATCACAGAGATGGTTAGCTAATAATTTGTGGATTTTAATAATTTTAAAATACCATTCGACCATAGACATCACAACTGAGCTTGATTTTTGTCCAGCACACTTGCTTCCCTGACTGGGATGCTGAAGCCTAACTTATTAAAGATCTGCATGTTTATTGGTGATGTGTTCAATTGAATAATACCTGACTTTTAAACTAATAAGATGGCTTTTTGTTTTGTTTAGAAAGGTCTGATGAGATGTGACCATGAGTTAAGACTGGGTGGTAATTCAGTAGTACTTTTTTTTTGTTTCATTGGTTATTTCTTTACTGAAAAATCTCCCATTGATGACTTTTGGTATGTGTGTAAACATTTCAGTGTTTCATGTGATATCTCATTCTCCATAAGGATGTACTGTTTCACAAATTTTAGATAGAAATTTGTACTGTGTAAAATACAATGTCTTCGATCTTGTGGTAGAAATAAGAGACTAGCTGAGTAACTTAAATAGCAATAATGCCTACAGCAGGGAAATCCAGAAATTGCTCCAGAGATGGCTTTCTCCTCTAGAAACTTTAATACTCCTGAGTGATTTCACATTTGTGCACATGTGTGAGACTTTGTGGTACCCACGTAAATACATATCCACTAAACAGTTGAAAAAATTTTAGTGCTTGTCCATTCAAGTGTAAGTGAATTTTTGATGTAATAGTGGACCTGGAGTCACAAGTGGGCCACACTAGGGAAGGACAGCAGGTTTCCTTCCCTAAAGGGCATTATAGAACCAGATGAGTATGAAATGCAATTTATGGTATTTTGCCAGTGATTAGAAAAGAAAGTAGCATTACGCTCTTGGAGCACCAAGTACTTGGAAAAATATTGCTGAATAAATTCCTCAAGGGTTTTGGAGATGCAAAAACAGTGTAGTTAGAGGTCAGATTTTAATTATCCTCACGTAAACTGGAAAGAGCACAGACAGAGGAATTTCTGGATCAATAAATTTCTGAGCCTGAGAGGAAGGACGTGTTGCTGGATCTGGTTCTGAGAATGAGTTTGGTCAAATTAATTATCTGTCAGTATGGGAACAGTGGTCATTAGTGTCATAGATTTAGTTTGGCTACAGAAAAGGACAAGCAACAAATAAAAATAATTAATTGGACAATGGTATTTTTATTGGGTTTCAGTAGACCTGGCCAAAATGGGCAGAACTCTAAAATGCTGTAATAAAAGGAGCGATTTGAATGCAGTTGAAATGCACCTCGAAAATAGAACAAACAAAGTCCAAGCGCCCCCCCCCAGATTTTTTGACTTATTCGTTTTGTGGGATATGGATGTTGTGGCTAAGCCACCATCTGCTGATCATTCCTGATTGCTTTTGAATTGAGTGACTGTTCAGTCCCTTTGAGAGAGCAAATCCGATTCCATGACATTGTGTGGGGTCATGATATGGAGGTGCTGTTGTTAGACTGGGGTGGACAAGGTCAGAAATCACATGACACCAGGTTACAGTCCAACAGGTTTATTTGAAAGCACCAGCTTTTGGAGCCTCATTTCTCTGACAACTGAAGAAGCGAGGCTCCAAAAGCTTGTGTTTTCAAATAAACCTCTTGGACTGTAACCTGGTGTCATGTGGCTTTTGACATTATTGTGGGATAGGGGTGACATGTAGGCCAGACAGGTAATGATTGCATATTTCCTTGCTCAAGGGCTTTAGTGAGCTGGATGAATTTTTACAATAATCTGTAATAGAAAGTGTGACCATGCAAATTAAAACTAGCTTTCAACTCCATTTTTATTGGTTGAGCTTCTAATTTGCACTTACTGCTTTGGTGGGATATGTCTCCACAAGAGACAGCTTAAGTGAGTGGAAAGAAACTTGGCAGATGGAATATAATGTGGGGAAAATGAGGTTATGCAATTTGGCAGAAATAATAGAAGAGCTGAATATTATTTATATGGAGGAAGAATGCAGAAAGCAACAATACAGATTGAGCCCACATAAATCACAAAATTAGCATCCAAGTTCAGTAGGTAGCAGAGAAAGTGAATGAAATGTTGGTCTTTATTTCAAAACGAATGGAATATTCAAAATGAGGAGCTTTTACTAAAATTATGTATAAGGCATTTGTCAGACCAGAGCTGGAATTCTGTGAACATTTTCGTTCTATTATCTAAGGAAAGCTATTCTGGCATTGGGGCCAGTTCAAAGAAGGTTGACTAGTTGTTCCCAGATACAGAGATGTTTTCATCTGAGGAGAGACTGAGTAGGTTGGGCCTCCTATTTATTGGAGTTTAGCAGAATGAGAAGAGACCTTGAAACAATTCTTAGAGGCTTGACAAGCTAAGTGTAGAGGGGGCATTTCCCCTTGTGAGAGAGTCTAGGTCCAGGTTAAGGGGTTGCCCATTTAATACTGAGATGAGGTGGAATTTCTTCTGATGGTCGTGAATCTGTCATCCCTAATCACGGGAGTTGGGCTGAGAGGCTGATTTTCTTCTTTTTTCCCCAGCTGTAAAGGATGCAAAGATTATGGGGATAAGGCAGGAAAGTGGAATTGCTGTTTATCAGATCAGCAATGATCTCATTGAAAGGCAAAGCAGACTCAATGAGCTGAATGGGCTACTTCTGCTCCTGTATCTTCTATCTTATAGTCTGTGCTGTAATAGCTCTATTATTCCATAGGTGTAATTGCTCTGCATTATTGAATATAAAATTCAAGTTGGAGAAGACTGTCTTGATTTATATTTAATTAATCGATCACAATTTGTAACTGTTTAGTATCTTTTTAATGTGAGGGTGATGATACCTACAACGCTTGAAAGTTATTTTGCATTTAGAGTTATGTTAGATGTATAAAAGTAAATCTCTACAAACAAATATAGGAAGATTGATTATCAAGGTTGGAGGAATTCATGTGCTTTTTGTTAATTTTTTTGTGGCTGCTGCAGCTTGTAGTGAAAGTACGGGATAACTGGGCTTGAATGCAAACATACATGTTTTAGCACTAATGTAACATGTTTATCAGTGTTAAACAACGGAACTTGGTGACAGGTAGATTTGAGCAGAGTTTTGTTTTGTATCTTAAACAGCACCTAATGAGTGTTGAGTTATTCTATTTCACATCCTGATGGTTGAATTCTGTACCTTTTTTGTTTGACAACAGCCAATCCTATTTAACTTCTGTTTTTAATCTTATTATTCTGCAATGGTTTTGAGCTCAATTTCCAGAATTAAGAATGATAAGTGACTTGTACCACATCCTGTACTTTAGAATTTCAGCTTAATTTCTGCACTGTCATTCTTTTAATCATGGTAATGATAATGCAGCCCAATTTTCAAACCGTTAGCTCCAGCCACCGTACATTAGCTGGTTCTAAACTGTTAATTGTGTTCTCCTTTTTCGGGAGAAAACTATGAAGAGATTGCAGATGAAATGGATTCTAATGAAGAAAAGTTCTTCGTTATTTATACTCCTACATATACATTTTATTACTTGCTTTTTGCATTTGAATGAAATTTAACTTGCTTAGTAAACCGACTGCTCTGTAATGTGCATGCTTAAATTTTTTTTTAAATCATTCCAGGGAGAAGGTTGAAGACTTGTTAAAAGATGATAATGGTAGTATTGAACTCGATCCGTGTACTGGGTAAGTTGAAAAGTGTTAGTCTATTTTGAAACCGGTTTCTTTATGGATTTTTTTCAGTTTAAAAATTCACATAAATTTGCATACCTATAGATAATTGAATATGCTGTAGTACACTTCTAGAGTAGGTGGACTCGAGCCCAGAGCTCCTGGTTCTGAGGTAGGGAGTCTCCCTGTGGAGCTCATTGAGTATGAGTTCCCTTGGTAACAAGCAATGGCCTATCCAGCTGGAACTCATCACCTGAGTTCTTTTGCGGATGTAGCCCCTTTTGTGTTTAACTGTGGTGATTTTGGGAGGATTTGTAATGTATAAAGGCTGAGAACTCAAATCCTAGCCTTTTTAAAATAGTATATAAAGCAGACCTGCCAGCCTCTAGATCAGAAGACCTGCATTGAGCTCCAACCTGTTCAAAGCTATACAATATTTGAGTAGTTTGGTTCAAAAATATCTATAATGCAGACCGGGGTGGTGGGGGGTGGGGTGGTGCTCAATGGTGTAGTGGTAGTGTACCTACCTCTGAACCAGTAGACCTGTGTTCAAGGCTCACTTTCTCTAGATGTGTGTAATAATATCTCTGAGCAGGTTGATTTAGGAAATTACCTATAGAGCAGACCCGAGTGTCTCTTGTGATGCAGTGGTAGTGCCCCTGCTTGTGAGCCAGGTGGCCTGGGTGCACATCTCAACTGTTCCAGAGGGGTATCGAGTCAGAATAAGTTGATTAGAATTTTTTTATATAGTAGATCCAGAGGGGTCCTATGGCACAATGGTAGTGTCCCTACCTCTGAATCAGGTGCTCTGGGTTTGAGTCATCTCCTCTAGAAGTGTGCCACAACATCCCTGGACAGGTTGATTTAAAATACTTGTTCTAAAGTCTGATTTTCCTTTTTTTTTTTCCCCTTGATAATTGTAGATGATGGGGGGAGATAATGGACTCTTGTGGTACAGTGGTAATGTCCCTACCTGTGAATCAAGAGACCTGGGTTAAAGTCCTACCTGTGCCAGAGGTGTATAATAACATCTCTGAACAGGTAATTATAAAATATCTATAAAGCAGGTCTACAATTGAAAGCATGGGTGATTGACTGGTGGTGGTTAATAGAAGAAAAAATACTATGGGTGATTTGATGATGGAGGGAGAGAAAAAGACATTCATTTGTACGTAAGAGCACTTTGATTTTTTTTTTAGTATAAAAGATTATGTAAAAAAAACCAGACCCATCCATGTTTATGTATACCACAAGTAATGGCTCTATTTTGGTTCAACTGTAAATGATGTTACTTTCCATTCAGGCTTCCTGAGTAACCCTATCTATTTTTCCCCTTTGCAAATAAATAATTCTAAGAGCAGGAGAGTGAATTGAATTACTCTTTCTTTGTTTTTATTTTTTAAAGTAGAATTGGAGCAGGTATGATAGATTGACTTCCCCTACTTGAAATATTTCTTTCTTTTACCTCCAAAAATGTATTGACTCTTTTTTTTCTTTTTGGCTGCATGTTGTGAAGCATAAGAATGAAATACTAAATAATTCACTTAGATTCTTGCATTGTTGTTGCTTATTTTAGTGATCCGATTTTTCTAATAATTTTATTTAGAAGGCATGGCTGTATTTATTTGTGTTAGATACCCAGTTATCTGGTCTTTACATGTGTGTGTCTTCTGCTTTTTGAAGGTTCCAGCGAAAACTTATTTATCAGACCCTGAACTGGAAGTAAGTAGTGTCTCTAAAACCAAGTTGCAAAGAAGGGGTCTTGTCTACACTTGGTTTGGTTTTTCTAGATTGAGTGAGGCCACCACTGGGCAAGCAATCTGATGGGACCTAAATTGAAAGGATTTGTCCATTTCTTCTACTCAATGATTGAAAGATGCCAATGACTGCAAAAGAAGAAACGTCAAACTTTCAACTGCAAAATTGCTTAAAGCAATATAGATCACTTGGAGGCATGGGCAGAAAAACGGCAAATGGAGTTTAATGCGGACAAAAGTGAGGTGATGCATTTTGGAAGGTCAAGTACAGATGGAAACTATACAGTGAATGGTAAAACACTTAAGAGCATTGATATGCAGAGGGAGCAGAGTATGCAGATTACTGAAGTTGGCAGCGCAGGTAGATAAGGTAGTTTAAAAAAAAAACATATGGCGGGCTTGCCTTCATTGGAAAGGGCTTTGAGTATAAGGATAGACCAGTTATGCTGTAGCATTATAGAGCTTTAGTTAGGCCACTCTTGGAATATTACATACAGTCCTGGTCACCACACTACCAGGAGGGTGTGGATGCTTTGGAGAGAATACAGCAAAGATTTACCAGGATGCTGCCTGGCATGGGCGTTTTCAGTTATGCAGAAAGGTTGGATAGACTGGGTTTCTTTTCACTGGAACGTAGGAAGTTGAGGGGTGACCTGGTGGAAATTTATAAGATTGTTGAATGGCATGGATAGCATGGAAAGTAATGAGGCTTTTTCCTGGGGTGGAGGGGTCAATTACTAGGTGATGCAGGTTCAAAGTGTGGGGGTTAAGGGGTGTGAGAGGAGTTTAAAAGAGATGTGCGAGGCAAGTTTTTCCACACATTGGCGAGTACCTGAAACGTGCTGCCAGAGGAGGTGGTGGAAGCAGACAAAATAGCAGCATTCAAGAAAGACCTGGACGAATACATGAATAGGAAGGGAATAGAGGGATATGGATCCTGTAAGTGAAGACAGTTTTAATATGGAAGGGCAAAGTGTGTCAGCACAGGCTTGGAGGGCTGAGTATTGTTCTTTGTTCTTCTTTGTTCTTGGCATGTTTTAAATTGAAGTCTTGTGTTTGGGAGCACTCCAGTATAAAAGTTATTGAACAGAAAAAAAGTTACAGCAAAATAAACTAGTAATTGTGTGTATGACAGTTGTTAAGAACTTTTGTGGCTACAGTAAAAAAAAGCTAGGTTTCATGTTCCTGCAATACTTGTTAAATGAATGGATATGCTATCCTATAAGTTGAGTCGCGGATTCCTGTTCTGGGTTTCTTGCTTCAGAAAGACAAAACTTCAGTGGTTAAACTAGAATTGTTCAACCTTTTAAGCAAAGGTAATGCAGTAGTTTGATAAAGGAACTATCGGCAGGGCATAATAATAAATATGTCACGTATACATATATTTGTTAGAAATGACTTCTGAAATGAGTTTCTAATTTTCGTTTTTCTATTTTAGATTTCCAAAAGGAGCTCATGTAGAAACCTTGGAGAATGAAAAGGTAACGATTTCAATATGAGATAAATGCAATTGGAATATTCATACTATTGCCAAAGGAAGGGACATGACTAAGTTGATTTTCTCAAGTTAGTGAATGATGATAATATGTAGATTTTGTATATTAAAGGAGCAGGAAAAGTCTTACCAGCCTCACAATATTCCAAAAGCTGTTGTCTCTTGTATTGAATTGTATTCTGGAAGAGTGAGTGTTGGTCTTGTATACTCTTCTCTCCTTGAGGAGAGCCTGCATGTGTTTCCAGGACGACTTGTCTCCCATTTACTTGCTCATTTGATATTTCTTTGCTTGACTTTGAAAAATGGCATACTATTTTTATTGAAAGGGCCATTGTAGCAAGGGCTAATATTCTCCTTGGCTGATGCTAAGGGTGCATTTCCTTGGGCGCATTTTGCAGGTTTACTGGAGAGAAATCACTTAATGCTGGTTTCCTATATCGGTTTCCTTTCGTTGTCCCTTTTGGATGATAGTTTCAACATCCGCTTACCAATGGGCAGGTGTTCAGGCTTCTCTAGTTTCTGATGTGAAGAAAGGAGAAAATCCTGCATTCAAAAAGCACCTTTTCTTGACTCCAGGGATTCCCAAGGTGTTCAGTGCTTATTCAATAACATTTTCCAAATACAGGCTCTGATGTAATACGAGAAATACAGCAGCCAGTCTATGCACTGGGTGTTCCACAAATGTGACACCCAAGTAATGTTTTAGTTGTGTTTGAGGGATGAATATTGGCCATGGCTCTGTGCATAACTGTGTTTGTGTTATTTTTTAAAAGCATTGTTCAACCTTTTTAATCAAGCTGAGAGCTTACAATGCCTTACTGTTTAAAATATCATCAGAAAAATGGCACCTCCAACAATGCAGGAGTTCCTCTTTTCTCAATAGTGTCAGCTGAGAATTTTTTTTTTCTTAAGTCTTTGTAGTGGGACTTAAACGCTCGTGAGTCAGAGATGAATTACTGTCCACTGTGTCACAGAATGTCGTTAAGGCTTTTCATATCAGTAGGTTTGAGTATGGTCTATAAAACCTAAGCTAACTGTGGTACAGATATCAACTGTGCTGTTTTGCCAGAAACCTAATTTTACTACATTTTCTCTTAGCAACTAGACATTCATTGACTATGATATAGCTTTAGTGATTAATCGCCTCTAACCATGAAGTTGTCATTTGATGGAAAGACCAGTGATCCAAAACCACTTATAGGGAAAATATGTCTTATCAGTTGTTGTGATTTGAGGTAAGCAGAACAATGAAGTTGAAAAACTTCAAACCTTTTTGAGTCATATTTTTGCATATATTAAGCTGAAAATTCTCAATTTATTCAGTTTGGTTTGAGTCCCAGGACAGAAATTGATCTCCATGTAAGATTACATTCCAACACAAAGTGACAATGCAATATTGATCTTTGGATGAAATGCTAAGTTAAAGCCCTGACTATCTGTAAATATGTTAATCTTTCACAACCCTATTCACAGACTTCCGCTGGCCAACGGTCCTCTTTGAGCTAACAATAACAAAATTCGGTTGATTCATCTCCTCCGTATATATAAAGCATTCCTGGTGCTTAATACTTACCCATTTGCTGCACAATTAATTTTTGAACTAAGATTTTGAAATGTTTCAATGATCTAGTAAGGTGGCTATCTGAATGTAATTGTTCTATTGCCATCAAGGAAAAGGAAATTAATATTCACAAGACCTAATCATGAGGGATGAAGAAATTACTCCTGTTTTTCTTCCTGATGTTGGTACGTTAGTATGTTGGTATGTCAGTTTGGATTTTTGTTTGTTTGTTTTTTCTCGCTGGCTGCATTTGTTGCCACCACGACTGCAGGGAGTCTTGTCACTGCCCAAGACTCAGTGTCTTGTCACAGTGCCTGTTACGTCATTACTAGCAACATTGCAGAACTTGTATAATGGCTTCAAAGTTGATATTTAAGTGGAGTGCTCAAAGAGTTCGTAGCCTCAACTGTCACTTCACTCTCTGCCCCACTCCCTGAGCAGAGTGAAACAGCAAAGGAGAGGAAGCAAGAACTGGCACTGTACCCTTTAGTTCCGGTGTGGTGCAGCCATACAATGTTGACATGTAGGGCACCAACTTCTTGTTCGAGTATGTTGACAGTTGATGCACTCTTTTGTCCCCAACTCAGTAAATACATAACCACATATTAAAGCTATGAAGAAAACACCAGACAGACCTCCCAGCAGTAACCAAATTTAACAAGTTTTATTTTATTGAGTTCGCACTGAAATGTCTACCTCGTTTTAGCAAAGTAAAACCTATCCTGAATACTGTACCATACGCACACTCACATGCAAACAAATGGAGTAAAGTCCAGCTGAGAGAAGATGAAATTTACAAAAAAAAATTAAAGTTTTGGCAAAAGAACTATAAACGATTTTGAGGTTCCAATTCACGGTTATGGCCGAACTAATTCAGTTGTTCTCTTAGATGTCAGCTACATGGATCAGATTTCAAAGTCAGTTCTTTTGAAAAGCATCAGACCAAGATTTCTCTCAGGCTGATCGCTATTCTTGCAGAGCTGGGAAGCCATGATATAAAAGGTGGATCCTTTAAGAATGTGCTTGAAATAATAGGGAGCACCTGATGCTCATTAGGATGTGGTGTACACTCTTACAGCTAGTTTTTCACAGTAATGGGGATGGATTTGAAGGGAAAAAGAGCAAACCAGTGTTTGTAACAGAGTAAGATAAATAAGGAGTCTTTGGCAGGCAGACTGACTTATGCTTCCTGTTTTAGTTTGTAGATGAGTAGCAATTTAACTCCGTAGCAGATGAGAAGTTTAATCTCTTCAGCTGGCAACCGTACTGCTTTTTGAAGTTCCTCATGCAAAATGGCTGAGTCATGTTGCAAGCTAGCTAACTTGGATTACCCATCAGCTTTTATTTCTTTGGAATTTGAACTAAATGAACAATTGAAAATTAAGCTGAAAATGTGGTCTGTGGTTATTTCCCTAACCAGGAGTAAATCAGGCGTGCCCTTGGCTTTTTGCCTTTCCCAGGAAAGTGTAAGATTATGTGAAAAGTATTTTCGGAACTGGATGAAATGACTGAAGGAAAATTATCGAGTCTTTGAGTTTTATAGACAAGATATACAAGGACAATTGTTGGATACTTATGAAGCATGGTCGATCTATAAGCAATTTAAGACAAATGGTTGGTTCATGGAAGAATATACTATAGATTTTGTTTATTTGTTAGATCCTGAAAATCTAAAAGTTTGACTCACCTGATCATCTATCAGCAGCTCCCTCCCTCTTTCTACAAGGGCTTGCAAACAGTTCCCTGACAATTTTCAAAGTCAATCATCGTAGTCCTCCAATGTTTCTATCGCAGCAGAATTGCCAGTTTGTGACACAAAGTGGCAGGAAACAACTGTTTCAAAAACCTCCAAATTTATTGAAGGAAGCAGTCATTTCTTCCAAAAGAAAATATTTTCACTTTAAAACTGAACCTTTGTAATACGGGCTCCAATAATGAGGAGGCAACAGTCTAGTGGTATTATCGCTTGACTAATAATCCAGAAACTTCGCTAATGTTCTGGGGATCTGGCTTCAAATCCCACCGTGGCAGATGATGGAATTTTAATTCAATAAAGAAAATGGAATTAAGGGTCTAAAATTGACCATGAAACCACTGATTGATTGTCAGAAAAACCTATCTGAATTCATGATGTCCTTTAGGGAAGAAAATCGACCATCCTTACCCAGTTTGGCCTATGGGTGGGCAATAAATGCTAGCCTAGCAGAGACGCCCACATCCTGTGAGTGAGTGAGTGTTTTTAAAAAAAAAAATTAATAAATCTAATCACTTGAATGCATGCACAGACATGGGAATTTCTAGCTTGAAATCTTTTTTAGTTTTTGATACAATTTGAACAAAATCCATGGTATGTTCTTCCACGAACTGACTGTTATTAAATTGCTTAGAGATTGACTAGACTTCATAGGCTTCCAACAAGTTGCCCTTCTTGTAAATCTCTTGTCCATAAATTCAAAGAGAATTGATCATTTCTTTTCAGTCACTTTTTATCCAGTTCTGAAAATACTAAGAGCTAGATTGGGTTAGGGTGTTATTTGAAAACCTTTGACAAGCTGGCTCAATGCTAAGTTAAAGAATGTGGTAACCTGCTTTTAGGTATGGGGATTTTATTGTCTTTAAAACAGTGATCCTCCCATTTGGAACAGCAGGAAGTATAACTTCATCAGCACCAGTGTGGTCCCAAGTAACTTGCCACTATTACTAAGTAAGTCTTTGAGGGAGGAAAAAAGCAAAAGTGAGATCACACATGGAGAATGACAAAGCATTTGTCTTTGGTAAAGCCACAAATTGCAACTTATTGCATCAGGGCATTATTGTATTCCATTTATAGTATCCAAGTGTTTCTTCTCAAGATGTTCAAATGTATTCATACTCTCCAGAGACGAGAGTCTGAGTACCAAAAAAATTCTCAAAGTTGCGCAGACAATTTTGCCCGTCATTCATCACAGAAATTGGAACCACTGCTGAAGGATGCCAGAGTTTGGATCAAGAATACAAATTTCTTTCTTATATCACATTGGGGATGTGAATTGTTCAATTTCAAGTATCAGAAGACGTCATTGTGCCTGATTGTATGCTCCCCACTAATTTAATGAAGTAGCAATGGACCAGAACTTGTGGGATGAAGATTGAAATACTTGTTACATGTTGTCAGAATTGTGACCAGTTTCAGCCCTCTGGCCAAACAGACAACACTGAGTAAGGTGATGGAAAAGTGGGTTGCGATGACTCTTGGAATGCCAACAAAATTTCTAACTGAACTGAAGAAAGTACATGATTGACTAGTTTTGGGACATGTGCAAGTGCCTGAGTAGCTGCCGGGAAGTTCATTGTGCAAGGGCACTTCGGGAAATAAATCCATGCAATAGTTGATGAAATGTTAAACAATCAGCCAAATTGCAACCTACACACAGCTCTGGTGTGGG